AGATCTTCAGAATGTTCTGCTATGTGGGCGAAGCTCTCATGCCCAACGAAAGAGCTTGATGATTGGGACTCTGCAATAGCTGAGTGTTCATCATCAAAATTAGTTCCTCTAGCTAACCTTCGATAGTTGATAGGGGAATGGGTCCTGTTCGCGTCTGAGTGTGTTGGTAGATTCCTTCAAACTTGTTAATGATTTCTCTGACGGTCGGTGAACGACTTGTCTTAGAGTCATCGGAACTAGGACCCGAGGCTTTTCCTCTGCCAATCATATTGATAGTGATCTCAGGATATTCAGTCTCTGGAGACTTCTTCTTGTGTGAACGTCGTTGTTGGTTGGGCAAGGTAACGTGAATTAATTGGTCGAACACCAGCGGTTTGGCCGCATATGAGCAGCAGTGACATCCCGAGAGGACCGCAGGAATTAGTCGTTCACATTGGAATGAATGAATGACTTGTTGCATCGGTCTTTCTCCTGATATGAACACTCTTAAATCTGTTGCAAAGACTTGAGAAGAATTACTCACTAACCGTGAGGTTTGAACTGGAACCCCCAGTCTATGATTAGACGGGACTGGCTCCTGGTGAGCATGGATATGATTGAGATGCCTTGAATCCAAAGACTTCTTATATCCGCTCATCGATCTAATCACGCTACGCAGAGTATTCGGGGATTTGTATTGAATTTCGTTACCCGAACGCATGCCTGAGGTTCAGGTTTTGCTGGTGACACGTAGTCCTAAGATCTGCATTTTGCTAGTGGAACACAGTCTTAAAATCTGATTTTTGGTTCTGAAACGTATGCCTGAGAGTTACGTTCAGTTAATGGAACGCACTCCTGAAGGCTGCGTTTTGACTGTACAATGCACCACTGAGGGCTGCGTTCAGTCAGTTAATGGAACGCACTCCTGAAGGCTGCGTTTTGACTGTACAATGCACCACTGAGGGCTGCGTTCAGTCTTATTCACACAGAGCCTATGCACCACTGAGGGCTGCGTTCAGTCTTATTCACACAGAGCCTATGTTTGGGCTCATAGACGCGAGGCTTGTGTTCTGAAGCAGAAACGCAGAGCACAGGGTCGCGTTTAGGCTCACAAACATGAAGTTCGTGTTGACTTGAAGATCGGCATTCACGGAGATGTGCTCGTCATATGGATCTCCTCCTTCGTCGAGCGGCGTTCTTCTTAGCCTGCTTCAAGGCCTTTGTAGCAACGTCACCATATGTGTTTATCAAGTTGGTCGCCTCAATAGGCCTCTTGCGACTCGATACTCATCGTCTTGGCACTGGTTTGGCTGAAGCTGAGCCTACTCCATCGGAGGAGGAGCTGTCCGAGCATTCTAACCCAAAGGATAGATCTTCCTTAGGTGATTCGGCTGCAATTGGAGCAGTTGGAGCTTTAGTCTCTTTAGAGACTTTGTGGATCTTGTGTATAGCCTTGGGGCTAAGGGATCTAAAGGAAAGAACTTCCTTATACTTGGCTTGATCAAACTCAACAATAAGAGTTTTGACGGTTGTTCCAATAAGATGAACGTCGGATTGAGCTACCACTTCTTCATCAGAGAAGCTCGTCCCCAGCGGAGTCGCCATCTTTTGTTTGGTGGAAAATTTATAGTAAAAGGAATGAAAAAAATTTGATTTGTATTCTCTCTATCTTAATTACAATTTGAATTCCCGATTACAAAAGAGAGGGGAATGATCTGGATTCTCCCATTTGCTTAATTCTGGGTTCTTCACAGTAGCGATGAGATGGCTCCCTCGAATGCTTGCGTCAAGTTTTCTTCTCGTTGACGATCCGAACGTCTTATTTCACTGGAACAATATCTTCTCCTCACGATTTGACGCTGTGGAGGACTTGCGTGGCAAGTTTGAAACTCTGAACGAATTGATAACTCGGAGCAAGTTTAAACTCTTATAAAAGAGTTGATTGATCTTAACCGTAATTGGTTAGACAAGCCAAGCATGAAGATACCCCCAATAATTTGTTGCCGAGAAGATGATCTGAAGAAGCCGATCTCTAGATCTCCAAGATCCAAAGATATCCCCCCTCTCTCTGCCTGATCGCCCAAGCTGAAGAGCCCTCAACTAAACTGATTTTTTAGTTATTTATAGGGGATTAAGGGGTGTAGCCGTCTCCTTAATTTACTCCTAAGTGGGGCTGAATGGGGTGTAACCACCTCCTTAATCTGCTCCTAAGTGGGGGGGGGGGGGGTGCGGAAATCCCTCAGATCATGGGAAGAAAACGGTTTCTGGAACCGTTCAACTCATGTTTGAACGAGTCAAATGTAGGTCCTGCATTCTAGAATGAAATCTACATTTGAACATAGTGTTTGCGAGCTGCATTGGGCAACTAATGGAACCTGCGTTGGCAGCTATTAGAAGTTGTGTTAGCAGCAGTTAGATGTTGTGTTTGGCAGCGGTTGGAAGATGCGTTGGTAGCAGTTAGATGCTGCGTTTGGCAGCGGTTGGAAGCTGTGTTGGCAGCAGTTAGATGCTGTGTTTGGCAGCGAATAGAAGCTACGTTTGTAGCATTTAGGAGCTGCGTTTGCATAGCTTTGACTCTGGAATGAGGCAACTTGTGCTTCACCTCTGGGATGCAGGGATGAGTCTTGCGTCTTGGATTAAAGAGATCGTTGGCTTGTAATCTCTTCTGTTAGAGCGTCACGACGATCGTTGTTTCGTAATCTTCACTTTAGCTCTTTAAAATGTGAGAGTCGTCAGGTTGCAACTCTCATTATTGGTTGTGAAGACCATTGATCAGAGCTTTCATCAGTTATCATGAAGGTCGTTGATTTGTAATATTCATCGATTTACGTGAAAGTCTTCAAATTGTAGCCTTCTGGAAGTCGTTGAATTATAACCTCTATTGTTGATGTTTGATGGGGGTTAAGCTATCTGTTGTGATTTTTAGACAGCCTACAAAACCAAAGAGTCATCTGCAAAGAACAAGTGAGAAATCCTTAGCCCCGACCGGGAATAAGATAACCCTCTGATGCACTTGTTCTCCTCCTGTCTGATGATCAGTATCGAGAGAGCTTCCGTGCAGAGAAGAAATAAATATGGAGATAGTGGACATCCTTGTCGCAGACCATGAGTAGGAGTGACCTGACCCATAATCTTCCCGTTGAGGCTGAAAGAGAGTGAGGAAGTAGAGATACAGTCCAAGATGAGATGCCTCCAATGATCTGGAAATCCCATGACTTGAAGGGCCTTGTCAATAAACCCTCATTCCACTCTATCATATGCCTTACTCATATCTAATTTTAGTATCATATGGCCAGACTGACCCCGTCTCCTTTTTTGCAATGTGTAGAGAAGTTCAAAAGCAACAATGACATTGCCCTGAATTGATCTCCCTAGGACAAAAGCACTTTGAAAGCATCTGATCAATCCGCCAAGAACTCACTTTAGCCTATTAGTAATAGTTTTCGTGACAATCTTGTAGACCATATTACATAGACCAATGGGTCTAAAATCTGCCACAGTCTTAGTTGAATCCTTTTTGGGGATGAGAACCACATTGGTTTTATTTCAAGACCTGATAGAAGAGCCCCCATTTAGAATCTTCAAACATATAGTCGAAATATCTGGGCCAATAACAGACCACTGGGACTAAAAAAAGGATGCATGGAAGCCATCTGGGCCGGGTGCCTTAGAAGGGCTCATAGATCGAAGATCACCCCATACCTCATTACCTGTAAAAGGCTCAGAAATGATCTGAAGGTCATCCACTAAAAGCTTAGAAGAGATAGCACCACCCACCTCAGCCAAAACCTCCTCTGAAGGAGTGGAAGAAGAAAATAGTTCTGAGAAATACTTCTCAATAAGCATTGCAATTCCCACCTGATCCTCCACCCAAGTGTCATTAAGATAACGTAGACGGCTAATGAAGTTCTTACTCCTTCTAGTGGAAGCTCTAATATGGAAAAATTTGGTGTTACGGTCCCCGTCTCGGAGCCAATCAATCCTAGCTCGCTATCGCCAGAAGCTCTCATCCCTATACTCAAGAACCCCCCTCTCCTTCTCAAGTCTTCGGATCTCAGCCATACAATCCCCTACATCAGGAGAAGAGTAGAGAGACTGGAGCTTTCACTGAATAACTGATAATTTGTGCCTCCATCTACCAAAACGCTCTTTGCTCCAACTACTGAGATTTGTAGCACAAGACCCTAGCTTCTGACAAACTGATTTACATAGACCCTGTTGTGTGGAGATCCCAGGCCAGGCCCTACTAATACCATCACTCAAATTATCCTCTTTGAGCCAGAAGGCTTCAAAGCGAAAGGGACGACCGTGCCTAACTGGAAGGAGGCGAGGAGTAGCAAAATATAACATAATAGGACGATGGTCAGAAACAGAGAAATCCAAGTGGTGTATCTCAGCAGTGGGAAATATGTCACGCCAGCCAGAATCAGCCATCATCTTGTCCAAATGCTCCTAGATATGAGATGTACTAGTCTGACAATTATTCCAAGTGAAGGTGTGCCCACAATACCCTAGATCAAGTAGCTCACAATGCAGCAGAACATTCTGGAAATCTAGCATTCTCAAAACATGCACCTGTCTACCACCTAGCTTCTCCCCTGGGCTCATGATGGAATTAGAGTCACCTCCACATAACCATGGCTCAGAGGAAAGACCCCTCAACCGTCTCAATATCCTAGGACTGGTACCGTAAGTGTTTCTGAGAATGGCCATAAAACCCTGTGAATCGCCAGTTCCTTCCCGCTCAGTTAATAATTGATGCATCAATGTGCCCCGGAGAAAACGAATGAATAGTCATATCTATTGCATCGCCCCATAGTAACATGAGTCCACTTCTGCCTCTACTACCCACAGCAAAGCAATTCTGAAAACCCAACTGAGATCTCATTATCTAGCCCACCTACCAGAAAGTCTAGTCTCCGAAAGAAAGACTAGACTTGAGGAATGAGTCTGCATCAATCTGCGAAAAGTAATCAACATTTCAGGGTTCCCCAGTCCCTGAACGTTCCAACAAAAGCAACTCATGGCTCCTGGCGCCCCTTGCCACCAGGGTGCGCCTCAACAAGAGTAGAATCTGGACTAGAAATCACTAATTGTGCCCTGTTCTCATGTACATCCGGAGGATCCTTTAGAGAATCTTTCTTACATTTGCCTCCCTTCTCTTTCTGTTTGGATCCCTGCTGCCCAGACCCTCTAGCAAGCCTCTTCCAGATCGATATAGCCTGCTTTCCGGAGGTGGATGTAGAAACTATAACGTCATGCAAATCAGAGTCAACACCGATATCCATAGGCAATGGTATAGGAGGGGTTTCACACCTCGCCGTGACTGGAATGATCTGTTGTAGAGCACTACCACGTGAATCATCATCCTGAGTATCATCTGAGACCACTCGAGATGATGGTTGATTCTACCCCTCACGATCTGCTTCAGTTGCTCCAAAAGACCGAGTCTCCAAGGCCTTGAAAGATGGAAGGGGTTCTCTGAGCCAAGAACCACATCTGCTTTTGGATGTGATAAAAATATCATCGACTTGTACACTTCGTTTGTCACACTCAGTAGCTTTGTGGCCAATAATACCACATGAAAAGAAAAAGTCAGGAAGTCTCTCATAGGTGAGGAAGAGCTTCTCAATCTCCCCGGTCTCTTCAAAGCAAACACGTATGCCTCTTTTTAGAGGCTTAGTAATATCCACGAAAATTCTCAGCCGTATTTTGTTATCCCGTAAATCAAGCCCTTTAAGTTCTCCTATAAGCAAGCCATAGTCTCAGGCGCACCTCTCGTTCATCGCAGCCAATGGTACCATCTCTATTAGCAATCTTCCTACCAAAAACCTTTCCCAAGAGACAGCTGTTAAGGGAAGGCGAATATGTCCGGTCCTTAGTTGACAGTAAGGCAAGGTCATCTTCGTCATCTAAGCTGCATTTGACACAAAGCTCGGCCAACCCATCATCATCAATTCTCGTCATGTTCCAAATTGATTTGGAGCCGAGAGGCTGTTTGAAACGGTGATGCCGTTAATATGAGACTGATAGACGGTCTTAAAACGGCGATGCCGTTAATTTGAGTCTAAGAGACGGCTTAAACGACGATGTCGTTAATTGGAGACCGAAAGGTAGCCCTGAAATGACAATGTCGTTAATTAATTATGAAATGGTGATGTCGTTCATGTGAGCCGAGAGATAGCTACCTCAAATGCTAAGATGTGGGAAACCCCGATGACTGCCGTGAGGGTTGGGGACGAGACTCAGATCTCGCCAAATAATTCACTGCAGAACTATCGGAGTGAGACAAGAAGGGTCGTGCCTCACAAAGAATGTAGAAGCCGGACAGAGAAAAAAAATGAAAAGAGACGATCGTGACGATGGGGATCCGTCACGAGGGAGGGGGAGAGAAGCATTACGCGCTTCCAAGAGAAGATAAGGAATGGACTGAGATCTAGGGTTTTCAAAACCCTAGAGAGGGGGGCGGCTACAAGAGAGAGAGCCGACTGAAAACTAGAGTTTTCAAAACCCTAGAGAGGGCGGCTACAAGAGAGCCGACTATTTCTCGTCCCCATCCTATTTTGAGGATGATGCATACAAAATTTTAGTTCTTCTTTGTCTTCACCTTTTCTTTTATTTATTCTTAATACCTGTATTTCTTGAAGAAGTTAAAACAAGTGGCCGAAATAACCTCAAATTTCTTACTTGTAGGTGCAGAAATTGGTAAAAGAGAACAAGAAAGAACAAGAGAGATTTTTTTTTCTTTTTTTTATTTAAATTTTTTATTGAAGAAAATAGTAAGTTGTAGTGTTGCGCTACAATTTTAGCCGTTTTGCTATTGCATTATCGTGAGGAATCACAAAAAACAACTTAAGTACCAGTTACCTTAGTCAATTTTGTAAAAATTGATTTCCACTTTGCATCTATAATTAGTGAAAATTAGTTGTAATTATAACTAGTTTTTGTAATTGTAGCTCTAGTTATAATTGTAATTTTCTTTGGGGAAAACAGCTTCATATTGTGAGAAATAAATTTATTCAAACTTTTGGCAAAGATAGGCATTGAGAGTTTAGGCCACTCTTGCATGAAGCATACATTTTCACGGCTGCATTTGGTGGTTTTGTAGAGAGGTGGCCAAAAGTTGACCTTTTCACAAAGCTTTATAGCAATGATTAGGCAATTGTGTGCTTATTCTAAAAACTTCACTTCTTTTTATTTCTCTCCATATGCTTACATTTTACATGTACAGTTTAATCATATTTTAATTAATTTCCGTTCTGCTGTCTACTTCTAGGACAAACAAATTAATGCATGACGAGCACTAAGAAGGGTCAAGACTAAGAGGATCACTGAGAAGATCACAAGGAAAAGATTTACTTCGGCGTCTAACTATTTAATCAAATTAAATTAAAGAAAATCTGTTTTTCATCATAATTACTAAGAGATGCTGTAGAAACAAATTGGCAACAATTTAGCAAAAGAAACATCCTAACATTCCTCATACTTAACATCTACTTTTAAGATCGCAACTAGCTTCACCATATTTGAATGAGTGCAGGGGGATTTGACACCCCACTACCAAGCACAACTTTTTGTGCTTGGTACCAAGCATACCAATATTTCTCATATATATGAGAAATATGAGTATGCTTGGTACCAAGCATAAATTTTGTGCTTGGTAGTGATGTGTTACATCCTCATCCACTCACTACCCATGTGAATTTATTCCCATATTTGAATGAGTGGAGGAGGATTTGACATCTCACTACCAAGCACAACTTTTTGTGCTTGGTACCAAGCATACCCATATTTCTCATATATATATATATACACAAATTTTTTTTAAAAATGTTGTTTTATATTTATTTCATTACTTTAAATAAGTAAGATTTATCTTGAGTTCAAATATGTATAATTGAATTATAAAATTTATTAGTATTTTATTTAAATATTAAAAAAATTAAATGTAAAGGAATTTAAGCTAAATTTGGATGAATATACGTATCTGGCATATTGTAATTGTTAGTATGTATTTTAGTTATAGTAATGTAGAAAATATTTCAAAATTTTAAGTTATTTCAAATATTTTTTGACTTAAAAAGCTAAGATCATTGTTTGATTTACTGCAAACTTGTAAATTATTTTTGTTCTAAAAATTTTTAATTGATCACTACCACCAACACTTAACAGGAACTTAATTAAAGTATGAAAGTAAATCTTAATCAAATTTGGTCTCTTATTCAACATGGCAACAATCTCAACAAGTACTAATTAGTAAGCCAAGGTTTTTTTTTTTTTTGAAAACAATGAATATTGAGGTTTGTGACAATCCCAAGCAAATTTATCACAATAGCAATATATCCATTCATAGGATCAATAAAAGCATATTTTTATCGATTGCCTCTCACGAAATGCAGGATCATATATATAGAAAATAATAAAATATAGTAAAATGGTTAAATATCAAAGTGTAATTTTATTTGATGTAAGCAATCACATAAGCATACAAAACTACTAATAACTTCGCATGAAAATGCATTATAAAAATTCCTAATTGTTATAAAAAATTAAGATGTTATATAAAATGATTAAAAAATATTGTTCTTGAAAATTTCTAATTGAACCAAGATCAATCTTTCTCCACCTTTATCTTTTTTCTAGGAATTTGGTCCCCTATTCAACATGGCAACAATCTCAACAAGTAATAATTAGTAAGCCAAGTTTTTTTTTGAAAACAAAGAATATTAAGATTTGTGACAACCCCAAGCAAATTGATCAAAAAAATAATTATTTGCTAATTGGTTAAAGAGGCCACCTTTATATCATAAATGATTGATCACATGCTGCGGTATCCATAGACAATAATAAAATATAGTAAAATGGTTAAATATCAAAGTGTAATTTGATGTGATGTAAGTAATCACATAAGCATACAAAACTACTAATAACTCTGCATGAAAATGCCTTATAAAAATTCCTAATTGTCATAAAAAAATAAGTTGTTATATAAAATTATTAAAAAATATTGTTCTTAAAAATTTCTAATTGAATGAAGATTAATCTTTCTCCACCTTTATCTTTTTTTTAGGCAACTCTAGAGTAGCATCTTCATCATCTACGTTGATTGTAATATCAGACTGGAGTTGAATTTCTTGTGCTATTATATTGCCTTCGCCTCGTTCATCTTTTGTCTTTTTATCTAACTTCACCAGGAATTTGAATGTTTTTCCGATGCTCAAAACAAATTTTTGGTAATATGGACTCTGATTATTTTTCTGTTGCAATGAGAACAAATGTTATATTAATACTTATGAATTTGTTTATTTTCTAATTTACTACTTGAATAGAGTTAGGAATTACCTCTTTCTTTTCTGTAATGAATGTTTCTGCTTTGCATCCAATAAGAGTTTCTGCTACGTCAAAAAGTGTTACTCTTGCATTATCCGTGCCATTTTCCACGAGAATCTTAACTAAGTACCTGTATTTTTCATTGTTAATTTCTAAAGACAATTAGTATTGTATTTTAATAAGTTAATGGCATTAAAAAGATATATTACTTAACCTTGGTATTGGGTCATCAATGATTCTGCGGCATTTGTCATTTAGACACTCTTTACTAACATCTTTATCAACCTTCTTGTCACAGCCTTTGCAAGCATAGAACCATGGATCGAGCCTATTTAAAATAGTAGTTATATTTACCTTAAATGTGCAATATTGTGCCTGTATATTAACAAAGTTTAGTTAGATTTAAATTTGTAGATGAGAATATGTATATAATATTGTACCTGTATCGAATTTTGTGACTTATGCATAATATCACTAATATGAATTTCCTTGGCATTTTTAAAAAGCGTCGATGGAGATCCTTTTGCTTTTGCAGATTCTTCCAATTGAAACCTGCATATTAGATTAAAATATAATAATATTTCATTATTGGGTTATATGAAAGTATTAGATTAAAATATAATAATATTTCATTATTGGGTTATATGAAAGTATGCTTGTTCTGCTTACCATTTCCTTAATTCGCTAGCTAGTTCTATTTTTGGGTTGATACATAATGTTAAAATAATTTGCGACGATATGCTTGTATCCCCTGCAAAAATAGGAAAATTATAAGAGTAATTTTATGTTTAGCTATCTTTAATAAGAATTTCAGCAATAATTTATGTACCTTGATATATAGAGATTTTAAAATCTGATAATGCTATTACAGGCTTATATTTGATTTCTGCTTCAAGAATTGATCCTTCATTTGTAGCTAAATCTCCAAATAAAGTTGCACGCATTGGCATTCCACACTGCATATGAAAAAGAAAGAACGTTAATTTTTTTTCTCTTATGATATTGGAAATAAGTAACATGAATATACCTCATATCCATAAGCGTGATTTTCCCTCCTAGTGTCTAGTTTGTTGTGTCTTGTAATATAGTTGATCGTCGGCTTAACATTAGTTGTTATTGCAAGAATATCTGCAAGTGATTTGATAAAAATATTATGATTCTGTAGATTAATGTATCATTTTGTATTGAAGATTTAAGTAAGAAGTTTGTAAGTACTTACTAATTTTTGTTGCATCTTTCATGGAAAATGCTTCTTCAAATTGGACAAATTTGTTAAATATGTTCTCCAACTGGAATCTTGTTGGTGCTTCTTTTATCGATACGTCTTTTGTTAGTACTAATTCAAGTGACTTGTGGATACTTGGAAAAGCTGGGTTTATTCCTTTCACTTCTCCATTTGAAATAAAAATAATTTTATTTTTTTGAAGCATATCTATAAATTTGTCGATAGTCTCTCCGTACATTACTGCTTGTATTTTGTTACCCTGCAAATATTATTAACACCAGAGATCAATGCATGGAAAATATAATTAATTAATACTAATCTATATATTATATGTAAATAGGGAAACATCATAAAAAGCCATTCTGATAGTTATCAATGTTTTAATGTAATTTACCGATTAGAAAATGAGATTTAGCAATATTCATATGATCAGATGTAACGTTGGGCAAACAATATAATATTTAAAATAATTTTATTTTACCTTTGCGTCTGCAAGAATTAGCTTTAGTATTTTCCCTGATCCTTTTGCATTTTTGTAAGTTGCCTCTGCACTTCGAAGTATAAGAGAGAGGGGGCATAAATTAGGATTTTTCTAAAAATCCTAATCCTAATTTGTACTGTATCGGATCGGAGACCAGAGAGCTGACACTCGAATTGACAGAGGGAGAGGATTCCTACTGCCATCGAATTGACAGAGGGAGAGCGTTTCCTGGGTTTTTGCCTTTTGCCCCCCCTAGATTTATTTTACTTGCAGATTCACTCTTCACATTTTCTAATTCACCCTTACATTCTCCCGCACTATTTTTACGCTTTTCTTGCTTAAGACATTAACATCCGGATGAGTAAATTAGTAATTATATAGATTTTACGGTGAACCGAAAATAGCAATAGATTTACAGGGTATTATCGTATGTGAACAAAACATCCCTTATTTTTTCATGAAGCGGGAGGTACTTTTCATTTTATCTATTCTCGGTTTGAAATTTAATTATATCAAATGACAAGATGTTACCCCCTCGTCATTTTATCTATTCTCAGTTTGAAATTTAATTGTGCTAGATGACAGGAAACTTCACCGAACGCAGAAGAATGTAAGCATAAATTAGCAATGATTCGTATTCTATAGATGGATTGATAAGATAAATTTGGGTTTATATGTATAAATGCTTTTTCATTGGTGAAGAGGTGGGGACAGATTTTCAAAACCCCAAAAAAATGAGAATTCTCAGTAAAGCAGTTCCCTGAAGGAACTATTTAGTAAACAACATGTTGCAAAAGCACAAAGGGATAAAAAAAAAGATGAAAAGGAACCGATGTTTCTTGACAATAGCAAGTCATATGGGTTGTGAACATGCTTAACATTCAGCATTGTATTTAATTGAAAGAAAGTATAATAGTTTTGGGCCCTTTTTGTTTAGCTACTTGGTGTTATCACAGAATGCTTGCCTGTATTATCGAGAGATTAAAACTTCTCATTCATTGGTCAAGATCAACATCTTAAATTATTGAAGTTGCTAGTTAGTTCCCCCATTCATATAAGTTAGGGTAAATTAGTTCCCGTGGTAACTTGTCATGATGATTGTATAAAATATTACGTTAAACTCTTAACTGAAAACTAATAGACTAATTTAGAGTGACTTATAAGACTAACTCTTAACTGAAAACTAATAGACTAATTTAGAGCGACTTATAAGACTAACTAACAATTGCATGATTAAACGGGCTAATTAAAACTATGAAAGATTTAAGCGGAACCAAGTGTGCACAACAGAAATTCCCACTATTATTATTGCCTTAAAGAAATAAATTTTCGTTAATTCTGAGATTAAATAAGCAAATATTTTGATAAATTGCAGAGTAAATTAGCGGTGTGTTATCTTTTCAAATGCCAGAGCTCGAGGGGCTGAAGACCCCTTTTTGTTGCATATTGTATTGCTCAGCCGAAAGCTGGAGCATCCTCATGTACGTTATTCCATTATTGGTGACCATTAATTGATTCTTTTGCGTGATTGTTTTTGAAAAATTAAAAAATGATATGCAACCACGTGATTGAGTTTCAAAAACAACCATGAGTATGAATGTGAATGTGTTGTAATCTATGCAAAAACAGAAACTAATTAAAAGCTTGAAAAGAAAAAAGAAGAAGAGAAAATGTATCTATTTTCTATTTCGGTTTAATCAAATAAAATATATATCTAAATTAAATTAATATTAAACATAAAGATTTACCTTGATAGATGGGAGAACCTGCAACAATCAATATTTAATCCTCTAAATTCTGCATGAAAATTGAAGAAATTTTAAAATAATTTAAAGTGCCATAAAAAGTAACTATAGTGTAAAACAAATATCACCATTAAATCAAATACACAATATTTCTAAAGAATAATCATCATGAAAATAAAAAAAAAACATACATGTTGAAGGAGATGAAGTTACTATAAAAATTGTGTAATTTTTTGGTTTATATATAGGCATGAGGTATTGCATGTGATAGGATAATAGTCATAATTAGAGTTTTATTAGGATTAGGATTTGAATTAAAAAATACTCTTTAATCAATCGGATCTGAACAATGATAGAAAAAGTCTCTTAGACAATTTAATCTATTTTTAAATTGCATTACAGGTGCTTCAATTAATCTGGAGTCTACAGTAGAGTCTAGAGATAAGAATATTAAAGTAAAGTTGTTATAGTCTAGAGAAGTTATTACGTACGGGTGCTTGAAATACTCTTTAGAAAGTTATTAATCGGGAATTTAATCAAATAAGAAATATAACCACCATAACAAACCCATAAAATAAATCATTAAATTAAATTTAAAAATTAGAATTTAATTATAGATAGGATAGTTCAAACTTTATAAGGGTATATTTGTCTAAAAAAGATTTTTCCTAACTCGTGCTTTTAAAGGGAGTATGATATATATGGGTAATATGAATCTAAGGTGACTCATTAGGCTCCATCTAAGGATGAGCGATCTGAGCCGTCCGTTCAAAAAAACTCTAATGAATCCGAGCCGTCTGTTCAAAAAAACTCTAATAAATCTGAGCCGTCCATTCAAAAAATCAACCCTCAAAAACAAATCCCCACCCAAATCTTTTGGACCACATTCTCCTCTCCTCTACCTCCTTCTCTCCTCCACCTCCTCCTCTCCTCCACGTTCCAATCAGCCCCCCTACCCAGTCTCCCATCCTCTCTTTGCCCCGCGCTGCAGGTCGCCAGCACGCCGCGCTAGACGCGCTCGAGCACGACCGATTGCGCAGACTCCGCCGACGCTCAGCTACCTTACGTCGCCGCGCCAATTCACGGTACTTCACAGTCCGCCTCTCGCCCGCCCCCCGCGTCCTCCCCTCCTGCCTCTTCGCCCGCGCTCAGATCCGCCACCGCGCTCTTGAGTCCGCCGTCGCCAACCTCGTCGCTCGCGTCTCGCGCCTCACAATCGCAGATCTCTCACACCCCATCGGCTCGCGCCCGCGAGTCACCGCCTTCCAGGCTCGCGCACCGCGATGACGCCGCCGCCGCGCACTCCGAGTTCGCGTCTTCATAGCCGAGGAGCACATGTTCGCCGCCATCCACCGATCGTCAAGTTCCTACTCCTCCATCTCCTCCTGCCTCGACACCACACCCGCTCGCGATATCTGCCGCCGGAACTCGCCTCGACGTTTAGTAGGGGGCATGTACTCATTGCTCAACTTAAATGCGTGTCGCTAGAGGTTTTAGTCGGCATTTTTGGATTGGTGGTTAATCCTACGCAAATGCTCAGATTTTCTAGCGACGGGTGGATGCTAAGTGTGATATCCCTGAATGCTTTAGGTCATACTGAGTGTCTTCACCATTCATGTTATTTGGGTGTTCTTTTGGGACAAATTTTTAAAAAACGACGCTTCTTTCAAATTTAATAGGTAAAACGCCGCGCCTAACAAAAAAATGTGGCAAATCGATGCATTTTTGCACGGGACTGACGCAGTCGGCAAAAAATGGTCAATTTTCAATAAATGCACCGACAGCTCATCCCTGCACCCTTCTCCTCATCTCTCTCCATCCTGCCTCCGCCCATCACCGCGCGCGAGCTCACCAACCCAGCGCCCAAGCCTCCACCGACCGCTCCTCCGCCAGCTCACCCCGACCACCCCATTCGTCAGCCGCCTTGGAACCGCGCCGCGCCTCTTCATCGGCCGCCCAGCACTCCCGCTCGGCATCTTAGCCGTGGTCCCCCTCTATTCCTCCTCCTCCGCTTGCTGCCGCCTCCTCCTCGCCCCTCACTCGGCGCCATCGCCGTCGTCGCCGGCCCCATCGCGGCCACATGCCGAAGTCTCGTCCATCTCCTCCTCGGCCGGTTGCCTCCAAACTCTCCGCACGACGCTCACCCACTCACAGACCCAGCTCACTGCGCCGCCCACGGACCATCCACGCATCCATAACACACCAGACCAGCAGCTCTCCCCTTGGCATCGGCCCTCTCGCCCGCCGTTCATGTCACCGTCACCCCTACAATGCCTGCCTCCCCGACGCACATCTCCAAGCTTCGATCCGCCCTCAAGCCCACCTCAACTTCACGCTCGATTAGATCCGCCTCGCCCTGATCCGATCGGCCGAGCTGCCGAGCTGGCGAGAGGCCGGTGGTTTGGTGAGCTCGGCGGGTGATGGGGAGGAGGATGGAGAGAGATTGAGAGAAGGGGCTGAGTCGGTGAATTTATTGGAAAAATCGACATTTTTTGCACGGGACTCCGGTCAGTCCCGTTGCAAAAAATGGTCGATCTTGCGCCACTGTTTTTTGTTAGGTGGTCGCGTTTTGCCTATTAAATTTGAAAGAGGTCTGTTTTAAAAATTTGTCCTTCTTTGGTGTTGTGAAAGACTTTTGTTTCAAGAATTGTTCTCCATCATATTCTTTTGGTGTGTAAAAGATTCTTCTCTTCAGAATTGTTCTTCCTATTATCAAATTAGGTTCCTCAGTTTAACAAGCTGACAGAGTGAGA